AGTGACCTTCAACATAATTTGTATAGCACCGAGGACTTAGTATTTGGTCCAAGAACAGTTTGTGGCCAGTGCCAGTGGTCTTTCTCTTGTTTTCAGTGAATGGTAACTCTACCTTACTCTGTGAATTCCTTGTCCTACAGAGCAGCTTTCCTTACCCAGAGAGTTCGAGATGGTTCTGGAAGCCAAAATGTTCAGCAGTCCAGGATCTGCCTGCAGGGTGGAACGCAATATCCTCTTACAGTTGAAATTAGGAGGTGGCATGGTGAGAATTGCTGAAGAGAGGCTCTGTCTCTTGGTGATTTATAAGGTCCTTCTCTGACTCCCAGGCAGCAAGGGAAATAGGAAGAATCCTTCCCCCATAGACAAGGTGTCCTCTATCCCACCTGGTAGGGCTGAGATGGAGCCCTGTGTTTTGACTGAACCTTTTAACCTTGTCCTAGAAAAGCTTATGAAACCTACCTTTTCCCTCTAGCCTAGTCCCAACAGAGGAGAGATCAGAAAGATGTTAAACTGGGGCAGAATCTTTTCCATTGACTGTAACGTTCTTGAGAGTATACAGTGACTGTCACTTTGTTTTGTTTTGTTTTTCTCAGTACCTAACACAGTACTACACACAGGCATTTTGTTGAGTGGACTCAGATGTTCCATAATCTCTTTTATTTTGAGAATGCTGAAAGTCTCTTTGTGCCAGTGTTTGGGCTCTTGTTTCCTATTTTCAAGCTTTTGCCTTTGGGTTTATCTTTAAAGAACTATGTCTTGTTAGTGTTTGTGAATATAGTTTTTAAGTATAATTTTTCCTTAAGTAAATTGTTGTGTTTTCAAAACTAGAATTTATGTAAAAAATGGATCAAAGTAATTGTGAACTCAACTATCTTAAACATGCTATTTTTGAATAACAGTTCAAGAATGACCTTAAGCATCGACAAGTGTCCATAGTCATGATGAATGACAAATTGGGTTAGCGTTAGTCTCGCCTTAGGTCCAGGCTGAACCTTGGTACCTGTTCCTGCATAATCTGAGGACATTGATCAAGTGTCTAAACAGAATTTAGAAATGGGGATTATGTAAGAGCCTAACTCATGAGTTTAACTGAGGTCATATGTGCAAAGTGATAGCACAGTGCATGGCATGGTGTAGGAACATATCCTCAAAAATATTTGTTTTCTTCTTTATTACTGGATTGTTATTTTGGCAGTTTTTACATGAACCATGACAGCTGGGACTGGTCTGATCTGTGAGATGTTACTAGGGTTATTTTGAATACCTCCATTCTCTTTCCTTTGGAAGTCCAAAACTCTCCTGAGAACCTTGACCGGCTTCCATGGGGCCTGCATTTCACTGTCACCTGGCACGGCCTGCCTAGTTCAGGTTGCTTTACTAACCTTTTATACATCTTTGTTCCATGATACAATTAGGCATGGAACCTGCCTCTTTCTCCAATTTTAAAGACTTGGGGGAAATTTCTGCCTAAGTAGGGTAAATAAATCTTTGGCCTCTCAGATTGTGGAAAATATACAATCAGGAATTACCAATAGAGTGTAATATCCTTTGCATATATTAAATGACATTTCCAGAACATAAGCACCAGTGTGTCTTAAGCAGTGCTCCCAGGAGTGGGCAGATGAGTGGCAATAACTTTGTCTCAAGAAATGAGTAGTCTCCTGAGTTCTCTCTCTCTAGCTGTGAGGCGTCTTATTGCTGTGTAGATTAAATAGAAGTGAGTTAGCCAATGAGACAGAGTAGAGCTTCAGGATGGTGCCAGAACTTGGAGGTTTATTTCACTTTAGGTGGTTCCATTTATCTCAGTGTACGCTATGAAATGGCCCCAAACGGTGCTGTCTGTTTTCACACGCTTTAAGTCATTTTTGTTACTCATTTCTTTTATTGTTACACACACTGGGAAATCATGGTATTGGAGTATTCCCTCTTTTTTCTTCCATTTCTTCTTTTCCTTCTGCATTGTCAAAATTGCTTTTGACAGCTCTGGGACCTGAAAGAGCGATTGCCAAATTTTGGAATTAAACTTTCTTGTAGCAGCATCCAAAGTTAACAAAAAGGCATGGGAATAATCCCATTAAGTATTCCAATCTACCAACATCTGTGTACCCTACTCTGTTCTACTATAGCTTTCTGAAAATTCTTTTAAGTGATAGAGCCTCTTTTACCACTGTAGGGAGAATAAACCATTCTGAATATTTTCACATGAACATATTATAGTATGTTCAGTGTATTATCCTAATAAAGTTGTTTCACTGGTCCCAAGGGCAGAAAAAAATTTTACATTTTATTTTTACATATTGTTAGCTAGATACCTTAGCTGAGTACCTTTTAATGAGCAAATGATTCCCCCTCTCAAAGAAATGCTATGGAAACAATAGATCCTTTGTTTTGGGGGCTGGAGAGATGACTCAGCAGTTAAGACCAGTTGCTATTCCTCCAGAGAGCCCTGGTTCCGTTCCCATCACCTACATGGTGGCTAACAACTGTCCATAACCAGTTCCAAGGAATTAGACACCCTCTTCTGGTCTCCTCAGACACATGTGGTACACTCACATAAATGCAGGCAAATCACTCATACCCCAAAAATTAAAATTTAAAATTATATGTCTTCCTTTCATAGTTTGTTTCATATCTTTCTTATAGTTAGTTTAAAACAGAATGTTTAATAAACTTTACATAATAATACAACCATAGGAATTGAAAAATAGACCTCATAAAATATTCTTGGGTCACAAAAGAAGTAAGACCTGTAATTTTAGACTTATTATTTTAAATAATATTTCTGTTTGATGTGTATGAGTGTATTGCTTGCATGTATGTGAGTATACCCATGTCCTGCAATGCCTGTGGAGGTCAGAAGAGGGCATTGAATCCCCTGGAACTGGAGTTAGGATGGCTGTTAGCTGCCATATGGGTGCTGGGAATTGAACCCAGACCTTCTGCAAGAGCAGTTAGTGCTCTTAACTGCTGAGCCATGTCTCTAGCATTGACATTTTAGAAAGTAAGAATGAACATATTGCAATAAAACTCTCAGAATGCAGCCAAAGATTTATTTGGAGGAAAATGATTCTATTTTAAAACCTGTGTTGTTAAACAAAAATAATGAAAATTAATGAATTGAGAACTCAAACAGGCAAAAACCATGTAACATGCCCAGTGAAAGCAAGTTAAGTTTATTAG